AAAAAATCGAAGGACAACGTACACCAGTACCAGGTACTACAGCAGTGCAGTATGCACCAGCGCATTAGTGTAGGGTAGGCACCGCACCAAAGAGGCAGCAGAGGTGGCAGGCAGCCAGCAAAGGAAAAAACAAAAATAACAAGGAGCTCGAGGTATCGTCCAAGATCATCGTAGAGAGGGCATGGAGAACAAGAAAGAAGAAAAGCACAAAGAGAGGCCGGAGGCAATACTAAGAGCATACAGCTTACGGCAGGGAAAAGGGAACACAGGGTGCGACAACATCATCAGTTGGGTACGTCGTTCGCCGCAAGCATGTAGACTAGGTTGTTCATGGGATGAATCTACAGTAGTGCATACATACATCAGCGGCTGTGTAGGTTGTTTGGATATGTGCTTCAGTAGGTTGGTAATGACGTGGGTAGGTACTGAAACAGGTTGGCGCTTGGAGTAGGGCTAGGTTCCCTCTTGGGTGGTAAACGGTGCTCATGCAGGCTTCATGCAGCCTGCAAGTATGCTGTAGGTACATGGCGTATAGTCTATGCGTATACCTTGAGTGCATTGAATCTGTTGTTTGTTGTTGCTGTTGTTCTTCAAGGCCCAAGAATCCGACTACATGGTCGGTCAATCGTACATGTAGGTAGGAGATGACGTGTGAAACAGACACGAAAGATGCTGGCATGGTGGTGCCTACGTTAGTTTCTGCGGAAATGACACACGTACGTGCGATTCTTTCGCAGGGGAGAAAACCGCAAGCGATCGCATCTAGTAGCGCAGAGCCAGCCAAGAAAAAACAAAAAAGCGCAGCTTGCGGAAAAAAAGTGTAGACCATGTATGGAAATGGTTTTCCTCTGGTGCTCTCTGCAAGTTCTTGCATCTCCCCCTGCCTTGGTGCATGCTCTGTGTACTCCACTCCTGAGGGAATCCTCGCACGTGTAGGTGCATGCGGATGCATCGACACAACAATCTATCTATCTATGCGTTTATTTTTTTACCCAGGATTGCAGCAAGTCTTTCTCTCTTGGCGCACCTTCCATATTTATTTCGAGGTCCACCGTGCCGTTACTTGCTCCCCCCCTCCGCAGAGACCGCAGAGACATAACAGTGCGATCTGGATGTTCTTGTGTGTGTGTGTGTTTGTTTGCTTGTTTTTCTTCCATCATTGGACTCTGTCGTCTGCCCCTCTGGCCCCTATCCTCCACTTCTGCCAGCTAGGCGACCCAACCGGGGTCACATAGGAGGGGGGGGTTGGATTCCCTCCTGCGGTTCCTGCCTGAGATATTTTTATCGCGAGAAGGGTACAGCAATCCCTTCCCTCGCGACTCATGAACTCGATCAAGTTTACTAACAGCGAGCTTTGCAGCGCGTCGCTTCCAACGTGTGTGTTTCCGTCCTATTTTTGATGGCGACAGTCCCCCCATTTTTCGTGGTGAGACGTGTACTACACTTTTCAGCACATGTAGAGTTCTACACTTACTTTTCACATTTTTTTCGTACAACTACAACCATCCAGGGTCACACAGGAGGGGGTAAGCACCACCAGGGCTTTTTGCTTCTTTTATTTCTTTTCATGACCAACCTTCCTCCTGCGGTGCGTGCTGAATTTTATGTTTATCGCGAGAAGGGTCCAGCCGTCCCTTTCCCTCGTCAACGGTGCTAATGTCGAAGTGTGGTACTCACGAGAGCTGGTCAGCTGTATTTTGCTTTCACCAGCACATTTCGTAAAGTTTTTACCCCATGGGGAATCGAATTCACGACCACTACAACTAGCGGATTACGAGGATACCACTAGACCACCGGGGCGACCGGATGGAATGTATCGGAATGGTCGTCCCAACTGCTCTCCGCTGTGAGCGTTCGATTCTGTTGCGTTTGGTATTGCGTTCGGTTTTATGATCGCACACCCTTTGTATCCACGCATTGATCCTACACAGGACAGTCAGTCATCCCCTAATGCAACAAAGCCACTCATTCGCCTTGTGAATATCGCCAATGATGAGGCGTTAGTCGTCCACGCGTTCCAGCAAGAAGTAATCCATCATCCTCGGTCTGACTGCTTGTCTCTCTGGCCATCCCTCTCTCTCGCTCTCTCTTTTTCCAAACTGTTCTCTCTCGTATCTACAGAAGTAGTCAACAGTTACTGGTGACAACTGTTCACAACTTCTTGAATATTTTGGTCATGAGTCGTCTGCGCACGCCAGACATGCCTAGACTAGTCTTCAGAGCCATGGGCACCATATATACGCAGACAGAGAAAAAAGGGTAGTTTATGTGTAAATGTGTAATCGACTGCCTGCTGCAACAACTAACCGTATGCTGCCTGTCGAGTGCTCCCGCTGCTCCCGCTGGCGCTGCATTCACTGCTTGCTCTCGCTTGCAATTCGCACATCACTTCTTCGTGTGCCCGCATCGATCCAGCCTCACAGCCGTCACTATCGCGAGCAAACGAGAAATTTGCTGAGAAGCTACAATCCTGCGTTGTCAATTAGATACTGGTAGGTCTGGGTTTCCCTGCGAGTTCATTGGTGTTGCGTTTTCTGTATCTTTGTTGCCGTATTTCACTCGAGACACTGTCGCCTCGGATGCTCTAGCGAAATTCGGGGATGTTACATAGACCGGTCAATCCCTACCGCCAACCACGAGCGGCGGAAAAGAAACGCCACACAAGTCACATCTTCACCGCGCCCACTCACAAACACGCAATCAGTCGTCCTACATTTTACGTGATCGAACAACCATGCCATTGGAATCGCGTGGCGGTGGACGCCACCGATGTACCTTGTACATGGTATGCTCCCACTTGTTGTGATCGTCCATGCCCCGATTGAAACCAGCGATGGCTCTGTCTTAGTGTTTTCGTGGGGCGTGGGCACCGTGCTTGGTGCGCACGTGTCAATATCGCAAGGCCCTTCACAATACGGTCGGGCAACAATTGAGTAATTGACAACCCGTTTCCGCGTCCTTCACCCGTTGGACTGAAAAACCGTCGTGGAGTGTTCTCCGGCAACTGAGGATGCAAAAAATGTTAACCCGTGGGGGTCCTGATCTCCTCTACGTTTGTTCGCGTGTCGGCAGAGGGAACCGATGAAGTCGTGGTCCGGAACCAAATTCGGCGCGAGGCAACGACTCGTGTTCGCTCTCTTCTGCGGCACATCCGTGATTGGTCTCCAAGCTACTGCCGCCGCCGAAGACTTCGACGGTTCCTCCTTCGCCAGGAACGCGTCGCTGGACACCAACGTCGACGTCTTCTGGACGATCGATGTCGAGGCCGAAACCATTCGTTTGGCCGTCCACGCCAAAGCTGCTAGCGGCTGGGCGGGCGTAGGCATCTCTGAGATGGGGGGCATGGAAGGCGCCGACATCGTGTACTACGAGACAGCTGTGAGTACTGGCGTCAGATTGGAATAGTTTGTTTTGCGTATTGTGGAGAGACGATGATATGAAGAACCGATGTGTCTCGACGCCGTGTCCCTCTCTCCAAGCACGGCGGGTTGTCGTCACATGATTGGTGCGTAAACAACGCAAAGTGAGCTGCTGGGCTAGAAACCGTGCTTTTTGTGCAACACGAAGAAATACAACGTACTTGGTAGTTTGACTGCGTAGTGGACTGACCTCGACCCGAAAAACGTGTTGTCTGTCCAACATCCTCCTCATGTTCGCCCATTTTCCGCGCATCAAGACGGGGAATGTGACGGATGCTCACTCTCTTGTGGCAGGTACGCCTGTCGTCGACGAATGCACGCAAGACTGGACCTTGCTATCGGCGGATGTCAGCAGCGGGAGCCTTGTGTTCGAGGCGGAGAGAGCTCTGGACACGGGAGACGTGCAAGATCGGGTCTTCAAGGACGACAGACTTGGCGGTATGGATGAACTCTGCAGTGAAATGTTTTTTATTTCCGGTACCACCCTCGACCCGGGGGCTTTGCTGGGTGTAGAGAAAGACGCGTTCTGCTTTAAGCAGGAGGGCGGCTCTCCCCGCCTGAGCCTCCTTTTCTGTGTGCCGCAAAATAACTCATCGTCGGTTTGTAGACCTATTTCTTAGGTGCGTCGGATATTCATCCTTTAGGAAGGGTAGATTAAGGTGTGGCCCCTCAACGTGGTGGAATGGCGAGCTTCAGCTCCCCCTTCCATGGCTTGGCCCATATCCACCGGTATCCTTATGAAACAACGCACGTAGCCAAGGAACAATGGATTCCTAAGAGGAAAATAAGTGTAAATTGACTGCTCACGCTACTATACATTGTACACCGGAATTCTAGCCACGAGAATCCTCGCCGCGTGGGGCGACTCGGAGTTCATTGGCTATCACGACGGCAACTTGGCCAAGGGAGAAGTCGTCATGTTCGGCGGATCGGAGAGCGCTGATGCCGCCGAACCGCTGGATGAGGTCCAGGCTAGTACGGTTGTCAGCTTCTTCGATGCTACTTCGGTGAGTTTTGGGGACGAAATCCTGCTCTACCATTGCGTCCATCTACCACTGGTGTGCTTGGTCTACCCATCCTGCTCCATCGACAGCTGATACGCTGGGAAAACGTGATAGTTGCTTGGAAAACGCAGCCCAATCATGTTGTTATGTCGAGTGTTGATATACTTGATGGGCATGACTGCTTTTGATTACTCCATGAAGAGGACGCAAGACTCATTTGATGCGTTTCGGAAAGATCTCGAAGAGATAGTTCGAACGCCGCCATTTTCGGCACCGCCTCAAGGATTGAAATCGAGCTTTGAAAAACGGTCATGGGGGTGGGGTATCTTGTGTCGCCTGCGTTATTGTGAATGGCTTGCACTTGTCAATATTCTCCCGTTCAGAGCTCTGTAGTCTATAACAACAACAAAATCACAGCCAGCACGGTGCTTCCAACGGCCTGCATCACGCACACTATTCAAGGAGGAAAGTTGCAGTGAATTCCCAGTTCCCATGGAGTCTTACTTGGGCTAATGTACATGTAACGACCCTGTCCGCATGATATTTTTTGGGCTCAAAGAATCGCAGCCTGTCAACACGAGGGAGCTAGCGCTCTCTCTCGTATCGGCTCCTCTCCCGGGGACTTAACGCATGAAGAATTTGACGTAAGCGGGCGGGTACTGCTGTGTGCTAGTTAAATGCAACGGGATAGCGTATAGTCTACTTACAAACACTTATCCGCATTGGGTTCATCGGACCCTTTGCCATTTATTCGCGGCAGCGGTTCACCTTCGCCCCTGTACACCGATGTTCATTCCCGCCGTCGTGGACGCTTGCCCGCCGCCGTATGCGCTTTGGGAACGTCAGAAAAACTTTTCCATCCCGACGGTGCGCACCTGGTACGAAAATACTTGCATCCCGGCTTCGGAGCTACCCAAACTCGACAAGGTGATATTCTCGTAGGAGGGACGTGGATGAAATGTAAAGAGGCCGTGAAAATTGGACCGAACTTTCGAACCACGAGCCGTAGTAGTTGTCCCTACCCTCTCACTTGCAGCTTTGGATGTTTTCAATCGTGACACCACCACCACAACTGCTTCGGGCAGATTATGCTCCGCATACTGCGTGTGGAAGTAATGAGGGAGTTGCGACAGCATGCAATGATGGCGTCCCCCGACGAAACCTCCCATAACGTCGGGTTTGAATGCTGCACTTGTCATATCGCCACAGCGCAACGCGTTTTCTGAGGCATCGAATGAGGGTGGCTCTTGCTACCTGTCGCTCACAGAACGGTTGCACTCCGAGGTGATGATGAACGCACTGCAGCAGCTCAGGTCGTGTTGTATTTGAATCCAGTTCGAAAGTGACTGTTTTATTGGACGTGCCAGCCTCATGGGTCCGACTCTCCCCTGGTTTTTCATCTGTCGAGAGTTACTAAGCGCGTCCCTTGTTCCCGATCCTATTTCTGCGCTCATCCTCGTGTTGTTCAACTATTCGCCGGGCGTGCGGGATGTTCGCCTGGTACCCGACTCCCTTTCGTCAGTACCACGCCATCGGTTTCGAAGGCGTCCTCCAGGACGACACCGCCGAGTTCGTGCACCACCTCGTTTTGACAGGCTTTTACGGTCCGCCCGACTGCGGAAACGCCTGCTTCGAATGGATGGACGAAATATTTGGGGACGACGGCTCTTCCTACTCGTCCTCCGACATGACCAACATTACCCTCCCGTGGTTCTGCCACGGCGTCGAAGACGCCGCCGACATCTTCATCTGGGCTCCCGGAATGCAGAGCTTGGATCTGCCTGATGACGTCGGCTTCCTGTTCGGAAACGAGTCGGGGGGGCTCAACTCCTTGAGAGTGCAAGTGCACTACGACAACCCTGACGGGGTTAGCGGCAAGAACGACAGCTCCGGCGTTCGCGTGTACTACACCGAGGAGCTGCGCCCGATGAACATGGGGCTGGTAAAGCTGGGAGATCCGCAAGGCGCGCTACACCCCCAGCCTCTGCCGGACGGCAAGTCCGTTTACTCCTTCGGTTGCCCGGGTACTTGCACCGAGACATATTTCGAGGTAGGCGCAAAGTATGGGATATTCGTTGTACTTTTGGCATGAGGAAGCTCGCTCTTGCCTAATAGATTAGCGGACAGCTCAACTGCTGTACCCCGCAAGCATCTGATGTGCGTATGTTTACGTGTGCTAGAGAGCACGGCCCCCCTCCCCAACCCCACCTGCTTTCCCCCTCTGTGCACGTTCGCAGATCAACTATTGTGTCTCGATGTATTGGGGTAGAAATTACCGGACCTTCCAAAACATTATTTCCGTCTCCTTCCGTCGTCCTCTCATGCGTGGTTTTGTCGCAACGAATACACTTTGCTCAGGAAGAGGAGGTTACAGTCTTCAGTCATTTGTTGCATATGCACGAGAACGGTCAGCGGATTTCGACCCGGCAGTATCGTAACGACGGTGATGGCAACGAGGTGCTGATCCACACGGCTGAGGTCGAGTACTTCTCCTTCCTGCAGGCCGGCGTGCACTTGGTTACCGTCAACGACAGCACCACCATCAAAGTGTGTCAGAAGCGTACACGATGACTCGTGACACAAGTTGTGGTTAGCATTGCATTTGATACATGTAGTCTTCTTCGTCAGCATGCTGAAGTAGTACGCCTTACCTTCCCTGGATCCTCGTGTATGGCGAAGCATAGTCTGCCCTTGAGTCTAACCCCGGCCACCCCGGGCGTTTGAAGCATAAACGGTCGTCCCACGCGTCAACACGTGAGCCAGGTTCTTGACGCCGCTTCCATGTTTCTTTGCGTGCCTCCTATCTACGCGCATTCTTTCCCAGAAAGGTGACGTGTTCACAACGGAGTGCTTCTACGACACATCGTATTCTTCGGTAGGCTCGCCTAATGTCACCTGGGGCCTGGGATCGGAAAACGAAATGTATGTCTGGAGTTGTGACGGCACCATAATCCACGCCGTTCCTGTCTAGCACACGTACAGTAATTTTGTCCCATTTTCATCCCTTCTTGCTTCGGTACGACGAATTCGCTCGGTCGATCTACTCTTTATTGTCACCGCTCACATTCTACATATTTTTTGTCTTCACTTCAATCAGCGCTCACCGCACTAGTGCCGTTTACTCCAACCCGTGGTCACACAGAAGAGCCCCTCTCTACCCTCCCCTCCTGCGGTACATTGCCTCCGATTTTTCATGCGAGAAGAGTGCAGCACTCTCTTCCCTCTGTGTACATACGAACCAGCGCTATCTACTAGGCCAGGCGCGGAAGCGAGAGAAATACTCACTTTGCAAGAAATGCTCGCCTACGCCGGGATTCGAACCCCTGACCTGATCTCTACTCTAGAAGGTTTCGAGGATACCAAATAGACCACCGGGGCGACCGGTATTGGTGAGGTCATGAACGGCAGAGATGAGCAAGATGCTGTTGTCCCAGAAAACGTATCTGCCCTTGCATTTCACCAGTTCGACCCGTATATGTACATATGTTGCACAACGTTTTTCGATTACCACCACGTAGCTCGCAACGCAACTCTCCGCCCTTTTACGCGCAAAATAACACGCAGGTGCATCGACTTCGTTTTCTACTATCCGGACCAGAAACTACCCGACCGTGGTGCATGCGGGTCTAATTTCTGCAATGGCACCTTGTTGGGCTATTCAGAATTGGAAGACTTCTCGGACTTCAACCGCACCTTCGGGGTGGTGGACACTTGCACCTCGAGTGAAGGCGTCGAGGTGGGGTAAAAACAAGAATGGACTTTTCAAATTCGACCATTCTTGCATTGCGAACTTTACACAAGACAATACATGCATTGCGAGGGTTTCTACTCGCCTCTGGTTCTGAACAGGTGGACCTTATTCTGCACAGGAATTTGTTGGCGCTGTTGTTCCTACAAGTACTGGTCGGCTGTTGTAGGTCCGTCCTTGCGATCCGCCATCGCTTCATTCCCAGACAAGCTCCGTCAACTGAACGACCACCACTGCGGTGTCTGCAGTAGCTAATGCGCTTTTCGTTTGGTGGAGTCGCTGCTCCTCTGGGCTAGGTTAGTTCTCTTTGCCTGCTTCTCCCCGCTTGGCTCCTGAAACCGACCGGCAACATCACCCCTCGAACAATCGTGTACTGTGTGTGAAAACGTGCGCGCACTACTTTGGCTTTGGTTGACAGGAGGGGCAAGAACTCACCTCGTCGGCACATGCCACCCTGCCCCTGCTTGGACTGTTGGCGATTTCCACGGCCGCGGCGCTAGTGCTCGAGGCCACTATCGTGTAGTTGCTGGCAGGACAACTCGCAAAAGTCCGAGGCATCCGCACGTTCAGTACATGGCGAGTGAGCAGGTTGCACTTGAACAGGTTGCACGGCCCATTCTCTATTTTTTGCTAATGGCTGGCGTTGTCTGAAGTGTGAAGTAATACGGGTTGACATACTACCACACATGCCTCTATTTTCTTTTTGCCTTCGACAGTACGGGACAAGAGGTAGTTGATAGAGTTCCAGAATGTTTGTTCCGTCATGCGCTCACAGATAAACAATGATTGTTACGGTGGCCTGTGCGCACGCTTCGTCCGCCGGTGTGTGCGCACGGGACAACCGAGTTGCAGTCAGTCAGGCAGATAGACATCATGGCTGTTGTCAAGAGTTGCTGGGGTTTTTAGTTGTCGACCACGCATGATTTGGTCCTGAAGCCTCTTAACGCTTTATTTAGTCTCTGAAAAATGGTCAAACCTATATTCGATTCGACCCTGCTCTTTGTGACCCCAGGTAGGCCACATTTTCGTTGTTTTGGTTCTAGAGTTGACGATCTTCGGTTTCTTCTCGAATACAATGTAGCAATTTGCTATTCTCCGTTCGATTTTCTCGAGATTGATCGACGGATGTCGGGGGAATGCGTAGCACGAGTGCCACCGTTCGTGAGTAGAGGTCAGAGGCGCTCGACTCTGTTTCGTTTTTCCACCTCTCTCACACATGTGCAACGCGGTAAGCATCATGTACGCCAGGCTTCTAGCCTTCGAGGCTCTCGCTCTCATCTTGGCGTTGTTATGTAGAAGATTCACCCTGATTTCCAATCCTTGTGTCTCCGATGAGTGCCGTTGTTTTAAGAAGTCGCCATTCTCCAGGCGTGTTTTTGGGACGGTACAATGAAGGAATTCCCCCAACCATCTTGCCTTGCACACCGCCGGCTATCGAATCGAGTCTGCTTGCCGTCGGTCATTTTAATGCCGCCATTTTACAGAACGTGTCACCATATATGAACCGCTTATGTAGCTTGAGGCTCGACGGTTTCTGGTTGCCTACAATCGAGCACACGTTATAATTGTCCAAGTTCTTATTTGGAGCAGGCATCCATCTATGCTACACAGGGTTCTTGTTCTTTTTTCTAAACCGATTGGCCTTCTGCAGAGGACACAGGCCTTTCTGGGTGGATTTCATCACGAGACGCTACTGCTGTGAGAGTGAAATAATAGTCAGCCGTAGAATTGTCCCTAGATGGCAGTACCGCATGTATGTACGGTATGGGAGATGAGAGGTTGCCGACAAAAGCTTGGGAGGCAAAGGGGGCAAACAAAAAGAATTGATGTATCATCCTACAGAGTGGATCAATGTTGTATTTGTACGCGACGTATGTAAGGTGTTAAATATTGACGAAGGTGATGTACTGGAATCGGAAGGTCTAGAGGGGTTCAAGGAGAAGCTATCTTGCCTTTGTCGAGAGAGGACAGAATATAAACACAGGAACCAAGGGTAAAGAGGGTCTGGATGTACACTGAGAAGTACCTACCTGTACTGGACCAATGGGTGCAGGGACAAAAATAAACGTCAAATTTAGGACTGGGGACATTGGCCTTCGAGAACGTAGACGAAGATTTAGGAAGGTAGACGATGAAGACGACAAAGAAATCCAGATGTGAATGAAGGCGGCTAGTGCGAAGTACATGTTCATGTACTTGCGGAATGTCCGTTGTACAAGAAGGAGAGGGAAATGTACATGACTGAGCTGAGAAAAACTTAGAAGGAAGAGGCCGAGAGATATCTGAGGCATGGAATAGAAAGTCGGTACAAGCTGTACTGGGGCATTGGAAGTGGGTTAAAGAGGCGGGTGATGATATCGATATGATCGATAAGGTAGGGAAAACAGTTTTGAGCCACCTTTTCCGTCCTGTCGAGGAAGTGCGGTCAATGGTGGAACCGCTAAGGCTTGCGAAACATTAGCCTAAAGAGGGTACGCCCCCCCTTCGGATCCAACTCCCACGATCGGGTAGAGGCGTAAGGAAGTTCAAAAGGCAAGGAAGTACTGTATGTGTACGATATAGCGGAGAGAGAAGCTTGGGATGCGAAGTGGACAAACAAGAATAAAGGTGTAGCAACCCAGGTTGTAGATAACGTATTATGGAAGAGTTCGAAATCGATGAGGTTGATACATTGGAAACGAACGGTAGGTCTAGAGGGGTTCAAGAAGACGAATTCTGCTGCTTTTGCCAAGAGAGAACACCATCTAACAAAAGGATCCAAGGATAAGGAGGGTCGGAATGTGCACGGAATGTTGAACCATTGTCAAAGGTCAAATTTAGGATGTCGGGACAGTGTCAAACGTCAAATTTAGCACTGGGCACAACGGCCTTTGCGAACGTTGACTCAGGAAGGAAAACGATGAAAACGACAAAATCAAATGTGAACGCGGCTCCGAGTGTGAAGCCCTGGTTCATGTCGTTGCGAAACGTCCGTGTTACAGTGGTGGTTTTCCTGGACCCACCCACAGGCCACTTGATAAATTTCTCTCTAGGGCCTGGTTATTTACCCAACAAAATATACACCATTCGAAAGCTATGAACCAGGGCTTTCGAATGAACCCACTTTTAGCTTTCACAGACACCTTGGTGACGAGTTATGCCGAATATACCGTTTCACCAAAAACGCGGCGGAACCGGTAAATTACGATTTGTCGTGCCCCCACCACCGCTGTAAAAAATATATATATACAAGCGCTCCGGGGGGCCATGCCCCCCCTACACGCTTTTCTTGATATGAAAAAGAGGCCCCCTTGGGTAGGCCGCACGCCGAAAAATGCGTGTTTAGAAGGGGATGTGTTGATACCAAGTGGGGTTGGAAGAGAGTA